TGACACTGCAGACTGGAGTAATGATGCTGAAAATTCAGCTTTGCCTTCACGGGAATAAATTACATTTTAAAATACGTTAAAATAGGAAACGGTTCTTTTCGAACTCAACCATTTTTATTGTATTTTTCATCAAATAAATGCCTTGGTGTGCATAAGGAACTTCAAAAAACAGTAGTGTATATTAGCATAAAATGATAAATGAAGAAAGAAGTTTGTTGTATAATTATGAATGGAGTGTGAAGTTAACGAGAATGTTCACAATATTAGCTTGTTGTGTTCTTATGAAGCAGGTTTTTAATTACTCATTTAAGTGGCACCAAAAGTAAAAAGCCGATGCAGTTGAATTTAATCATAATGAACAGCAAATCAAATCACTCATTCAGCCATTCATAATGACTATATTGTGAAGAAAATGAACAAAGCAAGTAAAACATACGTTTCTGATTTTTTGATTTATTGGCATAAAACACTACTTTTTGCTAGATTTTTAAGTTCTTCGTTTATTTACTTACCCACTTCAGCTACACTGAGATGTTGGGAAAGTAATTATTAGCAGAATGTTCTAGTATAGCACTTCTTATAAAAGTACTTGTAATGTGATTTCTTATTACACAAACTTAAGTAGGGGCATCTGTAGTTACTTGTGTAAGTGCATAATGGGAAATATAGAAGCATTGATCTCACCATCAGTTGCTTCTGTCTGGCTACAACCCACGTGGACTCATGAATCCATTTGAGCCAAGTGGCTCCCAAGGCCTTTTCCTTTTTTTTTTTTTTTTTTACATTCCTGGCAGATGTTGATGGTGAATAATGGTTGATCGATCAGGTGTCCTTTTTAAGTGACACTTTTAAAATGGTGCGTCTATTTGTTTGGAAAAGAACAATGTGCTTTTTATGTCCAGTGAGATGTGCTGGATAAGCAGACACTCTGATGGGCCAGAGCAGTTTGTGTTTGTTCTGGCTGTGACGTGTATATTGTACTAAAACCATTAGACAACAGATGGAGAAGAATGCTTGAAGACCTCTCATAAAACCTAAGAATAAACCTCTATGTCAGGGTCACTTTTTATGCACTATATGTTTATATAAAGCATAGAATCAATCTTAATATGAGGGCATTTCATGAAATTTAGCCAGAAGACATTAGTTGAACTAATCCAACTAATCTATGGATCATTGTTTTATGAACCTCATTTTGTTTTGCATATTTCCTTAGAGTTCTTTGAGAATCTGTAAGAAATCAACCCTTCGTAATGGTGTTCAGTCTGAGATTTGCTGTAGCTTCTTTGTTCATCTCACTCTGGGGAAGAAAAGTAAAAGAACTGGTTGTCTGTTTAGTAACCGCTTGCTTTGAAGGAATCTTGGTGACCTTTACAATTGAACACTTAATCAAAGGCTAAAATGGGCCTTTTATTAAAAGCGATTAAAGAGTTTTTGTGTTGAATGGAACGGATGTCTCTCACAAAGAGCCAAAATAAGTGAAAGTCGAGATTAGCCAAAGCCATTTCTTCGAACTGATGAGATGTCTTTGGCTCTTTGCCACTGTGTCACAAGGGCAGATTACATACTGGCCACTAAAACACCTACACTAAAACACACTCTGATTTCCCACACTTTTCCTACAGCAGATATTTTAGTTTAATTAAAAAATATAAAATAAATAAATGTCAGTCATTTTGCCTATAGTCTGTTATTGTCGGGTCATAAACTCCTGCTCTGCATGTTGTAAGACAGTTAATAATTGTATGGCTTGTCCTTTAGGTGCCACTGTGTAAGTCTCTGAGAGACACTAGCAGCAGGCTGGCAGAGCTCGGCTGGCTCCACAACAAGATTAGAAAATATACAGATTCCCACAGCCTGGATCGAGCCTTTGGCCTAGTCGGACAGGTAGGAAATGTGACACGACTGGAAATGAACATATCATATGTATCCTTAACCCTTACATAAATCTTTTAATGCAAGATAATACATTTTAAACT